CAAAAATCAGACCAGGGTGGGTTTGAGAACCGATTTGGAGAGGGCTTATTGTCTCAAGGATCATGCAGGTGGCAGAGAGCACCAGGGACACCTCGAGGTCTGGGTCCCCCCCTTGGGATGCCCTCCCCCCCACACACACCAAGGGAGGAGGGTGCTGGGGGGGTCCCCAATACGCTTGGACTCCACTCACCGACTTGGACTGCATCGTCGGCTTCATCTTGGGGTTGGGGCCCCGGATCTTCCCTATGCTCTTGCGTTTCTGCACGAGAGGAAGGGGAGAACACACACAAATCAAAACCATTCAGAGCTGGAGGGTTCCAGTTTGGCTCCTTCCCAGCACCCAGCACAGAGAAAACCCCACCACCGAGCTCCTACGGGGGTGAACCCCTTTGTGGGGGCTCTCCTGAGCTGGGCTCGTCCACCCCACACAACCCCAACCTCACCCAGAGCTCCCCCCAGGACCCTCCCCCAGGTGGATACTCACGTTGGAAGTGTGTTCCTTGTAGGCAGCCCGCTCCTGGGGCGAGAGGCTCTGCGGAGACAGGGGAGAGGGGGTCAGGGCACAGGGAGGAATGGGGAAGGTCTAGCCCCCTCCTCACCTATAATTTTTAAAGACTTTATAAGTTACAAAATGACAAAAAAGGATCTGGAGATGGTGGTGGCCCGGAGGGAGGGTGTGAGTAGAGATCACACCAAGCATCCCCAAGGACATCCAACCCCCACGTCCCCCCCCGCTGGGTTTCAGGGTCCAATTCTCACCTTGAGCCAGATTTCGAGGTGCACCTTGTACTGTTTCTGCTGCTCTTCTGCCAGTTTTTTGTAGTGGTCCTTCTGGCCCTGGGAGATGCGCTGCCAGCGGCTGCCGATCTCCACCATCCGCTCCTTCAGCGGGAGGTGGTTCAGCTCCCCGTTGGACAGCAGCTCCTGGGAGAACTTCTGGTAACCGTTCCTGCAAGGAGGGGGGGAGAGTGCAAAGACAGGATCAGACGATGCCCATAGAGAACCGGGGTGTCCACCAATCATCCCACCGTGGTCCAGCCCCGGTTCCTTCCACCCCAAGGGCTGCTCCAGGCTTTTTTGTCTCATCCCAATCCAACTTTTCAGGCTCCAGACCCCAGGTACTCACATAGGAGGTTTCTTTGGCTCTCCCTGGAACTTCATTTTCTTGGCGGAGTTGGTAGAGCACGGAGGGGCCCGCATCTCGCTCAGCTCCCTCTGAGCCGGAGGAGAGAGAGGAGTCAGGGAGACAGGGGCAGTGACGGGGGCACGATGAGGGGTGGGGAGGAGCAGGGACCCACCTCGTATCGCTTCTGATCCTCCGCCGCTTTTTTGATCCACATCAGCTTCTCCTTCTTCTCCATGTTGTTCCAAGTGGCCTCCATGGCCTTCAACGCCTTCCCCCGGTCGTTCTGCAAGACAGACACCCCCCCTCTCGCCATGTTATAGATGAACCCAAGATGAACCCAAGATGCCAGGGGGCTACCATCGGACCACAGGACACCCACTCCCTTGCTGTGACCCCTGTCCTCCCCGTGGCTCCCAGCCCCAACCTGTCGCCTCGGGTGTGAAAGCCAGGGAGAAGGTCCCAGGCAATTCCTGCTGGTGGGGAGGGATGATCCCAGTTCCAGCTCCTTTCCTGGCCCACTCCTCACCTTGAAACGAGCCAGGTAGTCTCCGATGACGCTCTGTTGCCAGATCTCCTCGGCCGTTTTGGGCGATTCGGGCAGCTTTCCACGCTCCTCTTTATCTGAGCCGTGTTTTTTCTCTGACTGTGCCTTCATCGCCGCCTCCCGCGCTTTGTACTTGGCCTGTGGAAGGTTCACAGAGGGGGTGAAGGGACAGTTATGGACCCCCTCCCAGGAACAAGCCCCCGGCCACCAAGCAGCAGGACGCTGCAGCTTCCCTCCGGTGCCCCCACCACGCACACCCACATCTCAGGGCTTTCCCCTCACCAGAAAAAAAACATCAAAACAATCAAAAAACATTCTTAAACTGCCGAGTTTTGACCCACCAGGTCACAAAAGGGAGATGGCACAGCTGGTGGCACCCATCAGTGCCAAAAGCCATGCCTGGGTGATGGCTCGCCAGAGCTGTGATGCTCCTGGGGACAAGTGTCCCCCAAACTGCAGTGCCTGGGGGTGAGCAAATCCCCCTGAAGCAGGACAAGGACAGGGAGCGTCCCCCTGGACTCCCGGCGATGGCCAACGGAGACAGGGATGGAGGCAAAGGGTTGGAGATGGTACCAACCTTCTTCTTCTCGGAGAGGTCATTCCACATGCGGGCCAGGAGCCGGGTGAGCTCGCTCTCTGACAGCTCCGGCCTCTCCTCCTGTAGCTGCTTCCGCTTCTCCTCCGAGAAGATGAACATGGCGGAGATGGGCCGTTTGGGCTTCTCTGAGCTGGCCTGCAAGAGGGACACGGGGCTGTGGGTGGGGGCGAGCCCACAGAGGGACCTGCCTCACACCGGTGGCCTTCAACCCCAGGAAAAACATGGTGAAAGAACGAAGGAATGAAGCCCTGGAAGCACCCTGAGATGCCAGCAACCCCATCCCATATCTCTGCCATGTGCTGCCCCATCTCCCCACTTGCCGCTCTCACCTTGCCCGTCTCTGGTGAGGACTTTTTGGATGCTGGACTCGTTGCCCCTTTCCGGTTGCTGCCCAGCATCTTCTCCTCGCCTAACACCCGCTGCTGCTCCTCCTCGGGCAGGCTCTGGGTGGCACAGAAGGAGAGACACCATTAGATGGCCCAACGCTAACGAGGCTTTGATGCAATCAGGGGGTAAAGATGCTGGGGAGGGGGGGAAATTAATACCCTCAGTTGTCCTGATCCCAAAGCCACCCCAGTCAGGGCCACCATCAGACCCTGGGCAAGCCTGGGAGTCCCCACGCCTGTGTCACCCCTCCTCACCAGGCAATGTCACTCCTCCCCAACCCCATCCCCTCCCTGGCTCAGTCTCATCTGCTTCCTCTCTGCAACGGCAGGGCGGGCAGGTGCCCGGATCCGGGTGCACCCTTGGGTTTTCCACCCCCCCTTGCCCTTTGCAGCCACAGCCGGGGCCGCGTCACGTCCGCCCCGGGGACCGAGCGTGACGCTGGGACGGCCTCGGTGCGGCTCCCCCCACCTACGCCCCGGCCGAGGGAAGGAAGCGAGAGACTCGCTGCCGCCTGCAAAGCCACAGCTGACAACAGCAACCCCCCCCCTGCTCACCCCCTGCCTCCCCACCTCCCAGTGCCCAACTGGAAGACACTGGGTCAGGCATTAGGGCAGCTGGGGAAGGGCCAAGACCCCACGGACATCTCTGCGCAGCACCCATGGCTGGGTCCAGCCAGGTTTTGGGGGGAGCAGAATGGGGCAGCATCAGTGCAGCCCCTGTTTAACCCATCTCAGCCCCTGGCGAGGGGTCTTTCCCCACATTTGGGGTCTCCAGCAGCCCTCCATCACTCACCTCCAGGAAGCGGAGCAGCTCGATTTCGTAATCTTTCTTTTTCTGCAGGGAGATGGAGATGAGCAGTTACACAGAGATTCCCTCACCCCATCCCTGCCTCACGCAGTCCCCAACCCGGCCTCAGCCCCCTGGGCAGCAGCATCCTCCACCCAGACCCTCTGCTGGTCCCACACACACGGACTGGGGAGACAGAGGACCAAGGGAGGTGACCCAGGACCTCTCGGTGGTCAAGATGATAAGAACCAGCACTGAGGAAAGGCAAGGAGCTCATTTCCAGCGAGATTTGTAGCCCAAATCTTCCCATCCTACTCCTCCCTTCTGACAGCCCTGCTGCCCTTCTGCCCGCCTGCCCACCCGTCTGTCCATCCTGTCCACCCATCTGTCCATCCCAGGACACTCACCTGATCACACTTTTTGTGGTACGCGTCCTTTTCCTTCTGGGAGAGCAGCTTCCACTGCTGGCTGCACAGCACCATCCGCTCGGTGCTGGGCACGTCTTTCATGTTGGCCATCAGCTCTGCGCAGTACAGGGAGTAGCTATTCCTGCAACCCACGGAGGGACCCAGCATGAGGGACAACCCACCTTGCTCACATCCCCTCTGCAGAGCTGGCTGGGTGCTAAAAACCCCCCAAGACCCCCCCTTACTCCTCGGGGAAACCACAGTGAAGTGCTGTGCCAGAGGTGTCTGCATTTTAGGGATGCTGGGGTTGGATTATGCCCTAACCTGGAGCATCACGATTTTAAATTGGAAGAAACAAGATTCAGCTTAGATCTCAGGAAGAAATTTTTTACTATGAGGGTGGTGAGACACTGGAACAGGTTGCCCAGGGAAGTTGTGGATGCCCCATCCCTGGAAGTGTTCAAGGCCAGGCTGGATGTGGCCTTGAGCAACCTGCTCTAGTGGGAGGTGTCCCTGCCCATGGCAGAGGGGTTGGAACTAGATGATCTTTGAGGTTCCTTCCAACCCAAACCATTCTATGATTCTATGATCACCATAAACTTTGCTCAGATTCTCCACGAATGTGTATTTAACGTATATTTAAGGACAGTTTAAAGGTGTCATCAACAGCCCATGCTACCAGAAAACGATGCTCTCAAAGCCAGGCAGAGCCACAGTTTCCTCTTTAGCACGAACCCAATAGCTTGGAGAGGGGACACATTGCTCACAGCCGAACGTGGAGGGACAGTACTCACGGAGGGGGCTTTGTGGGTCGGCCATCAAACTTGTCCTTGAGCTGGCGCTCGGCCTTGGTGAGGGTGGAGCGGGTGATGCCCTCCTCGCTGATGTTCAGCTCGGGGTGCTTCTGGATGTAGTCCCGCATGATCTCCTGCAAAGGAGGGAGAGCTGTCAGCAGAGGGGCTCTGATCCCCGCTTGGCTGGGGGCCGGAGGAGGAGGAAAGAGAAGCCAACCATCGCCCTAATCATCTCCCCAGGGATTACTTCTCCCTTCCCCAAACAAACGTCGCTGGAGGAGGCAGTGCTCAGACTCACTGACACATTGCTCACAGCCGAACGTGGAGGGACAGTACTCACGGAGGGGGCTTTGTGGGTCGGCCATCAAACTTGTCCTTGAGCTGGCGCTCGGCCTTGGTGAGGGTGGAGCGGGTGATGCCCTCCTCGCTGATGTTCAGCTCGGGGTGCTTCTGGATGTAGTCCCGCATGATCTCCTGCAAAGGAGGGAGAGCTGTCAGCAGAGGGGCTCTGATCCCCGCTTGGCTGGGGGCCGGAGGAGGAGGAAAGAGAAGCCAACCATCGCCCTAATCATCTCCCCAGGGATTACTTCTCCCTTCCCCAAACAAACGTCGCTGGAGGAGGCAGTGCTCAGACTCACTAGGGACCTGCAGGGATCTGGCTGAACCCCCACGCTGGCTATCGGGTGAGGCTGGCTAGCCCCAGGTGGCTAGTGGCCGGGAGGCAGAGTGGCTCAGAGTGAACGTAGGGACGAGTGTGGAGGGGGAACGGGTGAGGCTGCTCCCTACCTCGTACTCCTTCCGCTGTTCCAGGGCCTTATGAATCCATTTCAGCCTCTTTTTATCCGAGAGTTGAGACCACTGCTTGCCCAGCGACTCTTTCACCTCCTTCGTGGTGGCCTGAAAACCCAAAGCCAGAGGTGAGGGCAGAGGGGTAAAATCCAAAAAAATAAGAAGAGGACAAAAAAATTTTAAAAATAAAAATTAAAAAAAAAAAAAGGCAAAAATAGTGTGAGCCGCCGTCTTGGACCAGTGGCACCCAACTTGGGGCCACGGGGCGGCTACGAGCCGAGCTGGCGGCCAGGGAAGGGGGTGTGTGTGAGTGTGGGGCTTGGCCAGAGGTGGGTGTCTGTGCTGGAAATCTTTCCTGCCCTGACTCAGGCTGTGGTCACCCCTTCAACTTGCAGGCAAAAAAAAAATAATACTGGGGTCTGTCTGTATCCCCCGGAGCCTCTTCCAGATGTGCAGAGCCCTTTCTTACCTCCGTCCAGACTGCTGGGAGCTCCTAGCGGTGTCTTCCATCCCGTTTCCCCCCTCCCAACCCCTAAAATGCTTCTCTCCTTTCCCCCTCCTCTCCCCCCAGCAGCGGGGTCCAGGACCCCTTCCACACTCACGCTCACACGCACTCCCACCCACCGTACTCACATCTGGACGCACTTTCAAGTAGATCTTCTTCTCGTGGTTGTACCACAGCTGTTGGGGGGTCTTGGGTTTTTCAGGGACGTCGGATTTCTTGGCGTTCTGGATGAGATCCGGGTGATCTTCCCTTTACCCGGCAGGGAGGCAGGGAAGGGAGAGCGTTACGGAGGTCGCAGGTGGAAGGAGAACACCCCCTAAATCTCTCCCACTAAGGGGTAACCATCACTCCATGGGCTCAGTTACTGGGGGAGGATCCCCAAAAAAACTGGAGGGTTTTAGGAATGATTTGAGTTTGCCCCTCCCTGGGGGAGCATCAGCTACAAGCTTCCCCTTTACTGGGCCGGGCTGGGCTGCATCCCTGGAGCACTGGGAATGCCAGGAACTACCTGGGTCACAGCAACCACGTTCAAAGGGAAGGTCTGGGGGGAACAGGGTGGTCGCTTCAGGCTCCTGCCCTCCCCCTTGCAGACCCTAACCCCTAGAGTGTGGCTGCTCCTCCGCTCTCTCCCCGTCCCCGAGTCTCCCAGCTGCAGGGCTGCTCCCAGAAAAGCTGCTCCCAGCTTTTCCTTGCTCTATTATTTTTTTTCCATCATCCCCCCTTCCACTTTCAAGCCACAGCGCCCATCGGGGCTTCCTCTGGGAGCTACACACAGGAGGGGAGACTGGGTCTGCCTGGGGGTGGGGGTGCTCAGGGAAACACTGGGGGGCTGCCTGCTCACCTGAACCTCGCCAGGTTCCTCTCAAACTCCTGTTTCTCTCGCTGGAAGTCCTGGATGTATTTCATCTGGGGACACAAAGCCACCAGGATGGTGGAGAGGGACATCAGCACCGGGGAACAGGCAGGTAGATATATATCCCTGTTGATTGGGCACCCCCAAAGGGACTCGAGGGCTCTCCAGCCCATCAGACTGGTCCTGCAGCTCCCAGCTGAGGTTTTCCAGCTGCCCAAGGATTTGGAGGCAGGATCTCTCCTCTCCCTACACCCAAGCAGCCCTGGGCAAGAGGGCACAGCAGGACTTTGTGGCCTGGACCTTTCCTGCCGGTGGCAAATCCACCCAGACCGAGAGTTGGGGCACCCAAAATGCCTGTCTGGGATCTCCAGGCTCTGGCCAAGCCCAGGGCCACCTCCAGAGCCGGAGATGGGCAGCTCTTCTCCTTCCAGCATCTCGCACAGCTGGGAGAAGATCCTGTCCCTCCATCCCTCGCTCGGACAGGGCGGCCACGACGGAGCGTGTGATTTAACCCCAGTGTTTAAACACGGATCCACCCAACAGCAAAGTCACCATCCAGGTCCGTCTGGAAGAGACGGACCAACGGATGGACCCAGCCAGCCTCCACCCCACGGATCTTGGGAACCAGGACAGGAAAAGGAAGGGAAGTCTTACTGGTCTGACGGGACTAAACAAGCACCCGGGCTTCTCCCATCGAGAACCTGATTAACCCTCACCAGGCAGAGGCTGGGCTCTGCTGGTTTTACTGGGAGAGCTGGGCAGGCAGAGCCCAGCACACAGAGGCAGCCAAGGGGCTTGCTGACTCTCCCCCCTCCCCATACCTTTTTCTTCTCAGGAAGCTCCTTGTATTTCTTGGACAGGATCTTGGTGAGATCCAGGTTGCTCATTTCGGGGTGAAGCTTGGCATATTTGGCCCGCTTCTCCATGAAGAAGCGGAAATAGGGAGTCAGGGGCTTCTTGGGGAAGTCGGGGTGTTTCTGGGGAGACAGCAGAGGGGCAGACACTGAGCGTGGAGCCGGTGGCACCATGAAGGGCACAGGCAAACCCCACGGGCTCCCAGTTCCCCCCCAGTACTGGGGGAGACCTGCCTCCATCCAGCCCTGCTGGTGGTCCAGCTCCCTGAGATGGGAACACCCCGGCTTTGCAGGCAAGGGGGCGTGGGGAAATGCTGGGAACAACGCTCCCTTCCCCAGAACAACAATATCCCAGGGCTGGGTATCTCGGGAGCAGCCTCCAGCCATCCAGAGCTGTTGTGCCTCAAGAGGGGAAACTGAGGAAGGAAGAGGGGACAGGATCCACCTCCCGGTGGCACAGCATCGGCTGCCCCGGGGCCACAGGGCCCAAAACAGCACCCCACCCGACCCGGCAGGCCAGGAATAGGACGGCAGCTTCCCAGCACCCCCCCCCAGTGCTAAACTTGGACGCAGGCTGCCAGCAATACGGCCGGCCATATTAAATGTACCCTGGACTTGGCCCGTGCCCAGCGCCCGCGGCCTCCGGAGCCTTGGGCAGCCGGCCGCGGGGATTACGGGCAGTGAGGTGCCTGCAGGGGCTCCAGCAGCAGAGCCACGAGGGTCTGGGGTACCACACAAGTGACAGCCCCCCGTTTCCAGGGAAGGGGGAGGTCCCCCTTTAGTGCCCGACCCCAATTCCTGCCCGATACCTTGAGCTTTTTGCCCTTGTAAGGATTCTTCACATGCTCTTCGGCGTCCATAATGAGCTCCGTGAGGGTCCGAAACTTCCTCACCTGTGGAGTTAACGAAGGGCCAAAACTGTGAACAGGCTGCGGGCAGGGGACAGGGCAGATCCCTGCTCTGTACCGCAGAAACCCACAGGGTTTCATGATGCCACTGCACAAACAACCCATCCCCACACCTCCGAGGGGTTGACAATGCCACCAGCAGTGGGGTGGCATCGGCACTAAGGGCCGAGGACTCGGGGCGTTGAATTTGAGTGATTTAAACAGCCCTGGGAAAAGCCACAGGATTCTGGGTCCCTCTGGACCCTTCAAGGAGCCCTCATGCAAAAAACCCGTCCCCACATCTCTGAGTGGTCAACGATGCCACTGGCAGCGGGGTGGCATCAGCACTAAGGACCGAGGACTCAGGGCGTTGAATTTGAGTGATTCAAACAGCCCTGGGAAGCCACAGGATGCTGGGTCCCTCTGGACCCTTCAAGGAACCCTGGGAGGTCACCGGGATGCTTGACTCCTCTGGACCCTTCAAGGAGCCCTGGGAGGTCACCAGGATGCTCAGTCCCTCTGGACCCTTCAAGGAGCCCTGGGAGGTCACCAGGATGCTCAGTCCCTCTGGACCCTTCAAGGAGCCCTGGAAGGTCACCAGGATGCTCGACCCCTCTGGACCCTTCAAGGAGCCCTGGGAGGTCACCAGGATGCTCAGTCCCTCTGGACCCTTCAAGGAGCCCTGGGAGGTCACCAGGATGCTCAGTCCCTCTGGACCTCTCCTGCCGCTTACCTCGTTAGAAATCTCCATCCACTTCATCTTGCACATCTCCCCCGAGAAGTCCTTGAAAGCCACTTTCTCCCAATCCAGGTGGGACTCGGTGGTTTTGAACTTGCTCCCGTCGTTGGAGGGCAGGTTATTCTTCATGCACTCCAGCAGAGTCAGCATGTCCTCCTGCGACCAGCGGTCTGAGCGGCAAAGAAACAGGCTCAGCAGCAGCGACGGGCAGGAGGACACGGGGACTACAGCTCCCGGCGTGCAGCTCCGGACCCCGCACGCCGGGACACGTAATCTCCACACGCTGCCTTCTCCAGACGGAAGATCAAAAGGGACGTGGCTGCTTCCATCACCCTCCAGCAACTTTTCTACGGGCCAAAAACGATCCCGGGCAAAGCTAGAAAATCCACTGGGTGCAAACCAGAGAGACTCGCTCGTCCCAGCACGCCATCAGATAAGGCGATGGCCCTGCAGAGCAGAGGGGTATTTCCTACGGGAGCAAAACCCTGCGGAGCAAGATGGGAACGACGTGCTCTCCAGCCAAGGAGGAAATGGGAAAACCCCCTTTTTAAGTGGAAAAGAAGTGTTCGGAGCAATGGGAAACCCCCCGGCGCTGCTTTTCCTTCAATTTGGAAGGAATTGCCATCACCTGAGACCTAGCTCCATGTTGACCTCTGCCAAGGTCAATGCTCAGATACCACAGAGCTGGGGTAGGGGGGGAAGCAGAGCCCAGCACAACCCCCCTTGTCTCACAGCGGGGTCCCTGCCGGTGCAGGGGTGATGGTTATGCCACCCTAATGTCCCCCGAGCTGCTGGGAGGAGCATCCCCAGCTTCCACCCGGACAAGTTGCCGGGATGGTGGGACGAGCACGTGGTGAAGCCAGGGAGCCCGGAGGAACAGGGATGGGCAGCAGGAATGATATCCCAGCAGCCAAGGGCCCATCCAGCACTGGTTTTTTTGGGCTGCTTCCTCAGCAGGGGAATTCCACTGCCAGGCTGGGGAGAGGAGCCCCGGGTGCTCTGCAAACACGGGTGGCCCTGGGGACAAGCAGCGGGTCCTGGGAGCGGAAAGAGAGGTCCCCTAGGGACGGGCTGGAGGAGGAGCAGAGCCCCAAGTCGCACGCCCACGCAGCCCTGTCTGCTCCAGCAGGGGATGGGCACACAAGCCCATGGGCTCCTGGCCACGGGACCGGCTCCCCACGGTGTCCCCAAGCCACGTCACTGCCAGGACAAAGACAAGGGCAGAAGGACCACAGAGCATCCCGGTGAGATGGGGACAGTGCAGTCCGTCATGGATTTCAGGGGAGCATCTCTCCCTGCACCCCCAGGAAGGAAAAACAAGCCCCTAGAAATACTTCTCCCTCTGCTCAAACTCATCACGCATGAAACCACCACCTCTGCCTCCACCTCCTGACTCCACATTGGTCCACAGAAGGGCAAACCCCCCCACCCCGAACCCCAAATCCGAGCCAGAGATGTTAAAGGACACGTGGGACCCACAGCCAAGGAGGGGGAGCACAGCCAGGACCTGTCCCTCCACCCCATTTCACCTCCTGGACCAGGCTCAGGAGTCAAGGCTCGAACAGTTTGGGATCTGGACGGTCTCCATAATTACCTCATCAGCACCGTTAGGGATTAATTGGCAGAGGGGAAAGATGGAAAGAGCCCCCCCATAAAGGAGGGAGCCCAGGGACTCAGGACACATCTCCACACTCCCAGCTTCAGAGCCCCAAAATGTCACGAAGGGCAAAAAGAGATGGGAAAGCCCTGGTCCCTGCAGTGCCTGGAGGGACACAGAGCTGTGGGGAGAGCACCAAGCTCCAGATGTTTTTTTTCCTGTTTTTCCCCCATCCACTTTCCAGACACCCCCCACCCCTGCCCATGCAAGGACCAACGAGGCAGAATCAGGCCGTGAAGCTGGTGCCAACTTTACTTGCAGAAATCAGGAGAAATAACCAAAAGCAGCACGGCCAGGAAAACCAAGTAGAGATGGAAAAAGGGACGACACCCCCCACCCCAAAACCTGCCCCCCATTGACAAGCCCCGTGCCTCAGTTTCCCCCTTCCAACGCAGCAACGCTGCAAGACCTTTGGCCCTGCGTGACGCACAACCCCACACCAAAATAACCACAACCCACAGAAATACATTAAAAAACTGTGGAAACCTCCCAAAAGCTGCACCGGCAGCGGGGTGGGGACCCCATGCTCGGTTCCCCCCCATCCCCTGCCCACATCCCACCAGCCGGGGTTTGCCGAAAAATGCCAGAATTGCGGATTTCACCCGCCAAGATGAATGGGGCTGCCTGTGCCCTGGGACCGATTTATCCCCAGCTCTCCTGGCATCGGCCGGGCCGGGTCTATATTAGGAAAGCTGCCCCGGTGTAATTAAATCCAGCTCAAGACCCGGCGAAGGACACGTGCTCCGGCCGGGTTCGCGCGGGGCAACAACAGACCTTTGGCCCTGCGTGACGCACAACCCCACACCAAAATAACCACAACCCACAGAAATACATTAAAAAACTGTGGAAACCTCCCAAAAGCTGCACCGGCAGCGGGGTGGGGACCCCATGCTCGGTTCCCCCCCATCCCCTGCCCACATCCCACCAGCCGGGGTTTGCCGAAAAATGCCAGAATTGCGGATTTCACCCGCCAAGATGAATGGGGCTGCCTGTGCCCTGGGACCGATTTATCCCCAGCTCTCCTGGCATCGGCCGGGCCGGGTCTATATTAGGAAAGCTGCCCCGGTGTAATTAAATCCAGCTCAAGACCCGGCGAAGGACACGTGCTCCGGCCGGGTTCGCGCGGGGCAACAAACCCACTGCAGCAAGGGAGGAAAAACGGGGGGAGATCGGGGGGTGAGGAGCACCAGATCACCCTCCTGGGGGTTTCCCAGGGGGGACACATGGGGAGTTTCTGGGGTAGCAGAACCCTGCTGCCCAAATAAAACCAAATAAAACATAAAACATCCTTTTTCTTTTTTTTTTTTTCCTCCTTGTTTTCCTCCCCCTTTTCCAATAAAAGCTGAACCTCTGATGTCATCCCCGGGGTCTGGAAGCCGGAGGCCCAAGGTAACGGCTCTGGCTTTTAATGCAGCCCAGATGTGAGCAGGGAAGGCAGCACCTCTATGTGCCAGCTTCCCCCCAAAGCCCCCCAAACCCTCCCAAAACCTCCCCCAAACCCTCCCAACACCCCCTCCCCAACCAAAAAGAGCATCATCCCCGCTGCTGCAAGCTGGAGGGGCTGCCGGTGCACCGGTGTGAACCATCCGTACACTCCGGGATGGGGAAGAAGCCAATGCCCCATGGCAGGGGTATCCCCCCGGGAATGGGGGGTGTGGGGGGGTGTCTGCGGTGGTGTTGGGGGGGGTTCACTCACCTTGGTTTTTGGGAGCTGTCATTTCCAAGTCTGCAGGGCACTCGGCTTCGCCGTTCATCCTCCACCTGCCTGCGCCCACGCCGGCTCCCTCGCGTCCTACCCGAGATCACTCAGCTCTGCAAAGCAGAGGGAGACCCCCGCTAGGCAACCCCCCCCAATGCCTGGGGGGGCACCCCAACCCCTAGCGAGGGGTGGGGGAGGCTCACCCAGCTGTCCTTTCCCCCTCCCCAAGATAAACGAGGTGCTGGGATCCACCCCACAGCCAGCCCTGAGAAATCTGGGGGGGCTT